TTACAGTGCCTGGCACAACAGTAAGTGCTCAATAAACATTTTAAATGAATGTGTGAATAAATGTTCTTACCATATGCTGGACTTACCCTTAGGTATGTTGTGGAAATCAAATAAGAGACTACATGTGAAAAGCACTGGATTAAATCCACTGTAGCATTGTTTCGGTTATTTCCTCGCTCTCATTCAAATCTCGGCAGCCTTCAGATCCTGTTACCTTATTCTTCATAATAAATTTCTCTTTCCTTTTCCTTCCAACACCCATAGAGACCATCTAAGTTCAGTCTTCTCACGTTGCAGCTATTGCATTCATTTCTCTACCTTTAGTTGATGTGACACATTTTCAGGTTAATCTTCTTAAAACATTGCTTTGAGCAAATCACCTGTACTCGGTTATTGGCCTTCAGTGCTCTTCCCACATTATCAGGCTTAAGTCCAAATGCGGTGGAGGCTGGAAGCCTTTTATATTCTGATTAATTTACCCCAGCGTCCTTTCGTATTACATAAGACTTTTGCCCAGAATGTATTGGATTCTTGGCTGTTCCCTAAATATTATAGTTAAATTTATTCTTTAATTCAGCCAATATTTACTGTCATCTGTGGGCCAGGCCCTTTGTTACAAAGATCAAAGACACAGTCCCTGTTCTCCAGCAAACAGATATATTAAACATTAGAGCATGGTAAAGGCTAAGATAGGTGCCGTGGGTGCACAAAGAGCAACTTCTAACCTAGTGTGGGGTAGGGAGGTCAGGGAAGACCAGTAGGAATTGACTAATATAAGAAGCGAAGAAAGTATACTTAAGGCCAAGGGAAACCAAAGCAAAAGGGCATAGAGAATATAGGCATGGGTCTGGGTTAGATTTATGAATATTTCAGTGGTTAGATTAGAGAGTGTGAGTGGCTGGGTGCTTAAGAGGTTGGAGACTAGCAAGAGCTAGGTCAAGAAGGCCTTCTGTGTGCTGCTCTATCTTCCTTGCACATATTACCCTGAGGGCAACAGGAATCCAGGAATAATTTTAAATAGGGATCTGACTAGTCTGATTTATCCCTTCCTCCTATTTTCTCACCCCTACCTCCCGCTTGTCTAAATCAGGACTCTGGTTGGAACCCCTATTGAGAATTTACATTTGTAACAAGTTTCCAGGAGTTATTCGTAAGGATCACCTGGGAATCTTGTTAAAAAGTAGATTCTGATTCAGTATATTTGGGGTGAAAATTCAAATTCTCAGCAGGGAACCAGTTTGTTCCTGTTCAAAGCCCTAGTCTAAATCTTACTTATCTTCCAAGGTTCACAACAGATGCTGTATCCTTCATAAAATCTTTTTAAATCACCTGGTTGAAAGTAATTTCACTCTCCTCTGTACACCTATCATTCTCCAAGCCATTTTAGGCCTGAAACCTAAAATCACATTTTTAAAGTCCATAATAGAACAACATTAATGGGAGTTAGTAAAACAATGTTTATAATTTTATCACCCCAACACAACATTTTCATTATTGTACATTTTTTTCTAGACTTACAGATAAGTATAACATATTTAATGGTTGAAATCATGGCATATATGCAATTTTATTATGTGTTACTTTACATTATATCACGTTGCATGATTTTTTTATTCATCATTATCATTTTAAATGGATGTATTATATATATATTTAGCCATTCCTGTATAATTGTATATAATTTTTAGCTATCAATAGAATATGCCATAATTTTCACATGAGTATTTCTCCCTCTTCTTTTTTTTCTGTTGGAACTGTTTCCTTATGCAAAATTCTCAAGATTGGGATTACTAAAACAAAGAGTGTTGACTTATCTTCGACTTCTGACACCCTCAGCCTTCCCCCAGTCACTGAATTACCAAATGTTGATTCTTTGGTAATGTATCTGGCACCAGTCCTTTCCTTTCTATTCCTACTGTCTTAGTCCATCCTGCCCTTCATGCCAGGATTATTGCAATCTTTTTTCCTAACTGGTTTCCCCAGTCTCCAATGTTTTCCTTTTCCAATTTGCCATCTCATCATGCCAGATTAATTGCCCTAAACCACTGCTTTGAAAAAAGGACTCATTCTTTCAACAGATATTTATTGAGTGCATGCCACGAGCCAGATATTAAACTCCTTAACTGGCATTCAAGGTCTGAACATTGTCCCGCATTGCTTTATACCAGCCAGCCCTCTGGCCCAGCGAGACTGCTCTATTCACCGTCTCCTGAACATGCCATACACAGTCCCATGTCTGAATTTTTGTTTTAGAATGAGCTGTTTAGAATCCATTCTGCCTCTCTTTCCATTTACTTTAGTTTGGCCTTTTTTTCAAAGCCCACCTCTAGTCCCCGTCCTCCCTCCACAAAGCCTCTCGGTTTTTTCAATTCTTCAGTTTTTACTCAGCCTTCAAGCTGAGGAACCACATTTTGTCACTACTTGCCACTTAACATATGCAGCCTTGTATAATTATTTATATTTGACAATGTATGTCCTGTTTCAACTAGATTAGAAGCCCTTTGAAGGAAAGGGCAGGATGTTGGTCTTTTATAATTCCAAAGCCCTATCTATTGTAGCTCGACAAAAAATATCCTTGGTGGCTGTCGTTATTCACCAGACAAAGTCCGAATTCCTTGACCATGTTTTTAAGGCTTTCTAAAATCTGACCCCTTTTTTTTTCCCCCAACCTGGCTTCCTATGATTCCCTAACATGAACTGTCTGATTCGCCTGGACCCTTCTTCTTTCTGTTCCCTACATACTGCGTGCCCGTTCCCACATCCGTGCCTTCCTTTACTCATGTTTGAGTGCCCTTCATGTTTTTTCTTCTTTCCTTCCCTTCCACCTGTTAAATTTGATATATTTCCTTTAATAATATTTTGTTTTAATTTATTAATGATGCTTACATTGTGAACAAAAAACCAATTCATGTAACAAGATTTAATTCACATGGGAGGCCCTAGACTTGACTTTCTACTTTTAAAGATCTTTCTCTCTTTTAAATAAAACAAAAAAGATATATATTTAAAAGTTAATGGTTCCTACCCACCACCTCGTCTTCCACGTTATCCCTCTCAAAGTTACCAGCATTAAAGGCTTGATATGTGTCCTTCCAAGGTTCCTATACACAGACTGACTATAGACCTTTAGCACTGCCCTTTCCTCCAACAAAAACGGAACCATACTCTACACTGGCAGTTCTCAAAGTGGTCCAGGATCCCTGGGGATCTGTAAGACCCTTTCAAGAGGTCTGCAAGCAGAGCTGTTTTCATAATCACCACCACCACCACCACCAGTTGCCTTCAAGTTAATTCCAGCTCATAGCGAGCCCATACGCGTCCGAGTAGAACTGTGCTCCATAGAGTTTTCAGTGGCTAGTTTTTCTGTGTTTGCCTTTTTCACTAGGTTGACATTTGTTTGCACTGATGGTGCAAAAGTAGTGGTGGGTAAACTGCTGGCAGTTCAGCACACTTCTCGGCAGTGGCACCAAACTGTGTTTGTTATTGTATTCTTCAGTGCAACACACTTGGAGTAAATAATGACAGTTTCACTTACAAATAGCCTTAATGAAGCAGTAAAAATTATTAATTTTATTAAATCCAACCCTTGTATACAGTTAAAAAAATAAACTTTATATTTTGATACATGTCTTTTTAATGCTCTCTATGACTAAATGGGAAGTAAGTATGAAACACTTCTGCTACATACCAAAGTAAGAAGGAAAAGCACTTGTGCAATTCTCTGGTTTGCAAACTAAACAAGCGTCTCTGTTCATGGAACACCATTTTTACTTGGAAGAACCACTGACAAACTGGTAATTCAGACTTGGGTATCTGACAGACATTTCCTGAAAATAAACAAAGCAAGCCTGTCATTTCAGGAAAACAACTGACAGTATTTATTGCCAATGATAAAATTCAAGCTTTCAAATGAAAATTAGAATTCTGGAAAACTTGTATCTGGCAGTTCGTACTTGACAGCTTACCAGTACGTGAAGACTTTTCTGATGACATTAGTAAATTTTTTTTTATATTGGATAATGACATACATAATATTATAAAATAAGTGTGGAAAGGGGGTCCTGAAATAAAAAGTTCAAGAACGGCTGCTCTGTAAGTTATTCTGCAGCTTGATTTTTCACTTGAGTATATCATGAATAGCATCTAAGGTCAGTACATTTAGATCTAACACATTCTTTTTAATAAGAGCGTAGTTTTCCATTGTATGAGTGAACCAGATCTGTTCAGTCTTTCCTCTGTTGATGACCACTCAAGTTGTTCCCAGCTTTTTGCTAATGCAAATAATGCAGAAACAAATATCCTTTGTCTATATCCTTGTGTACTGGTGTGTACTATAGTATAGATTCCTAAAGCTGGCCTGTTTTTCAAGTTCCATCTAAATAAAATTTCCCCTTCTCTATGAAGTCTCTTGTCATTTCTTCCCCTATGGTTCTTGTTTTTGCCCACTTTGTTATCCTCTTCTTCATTCACTGCCTTTTGATGTACTATGCTGTTGTCTTGCGTTTTTTGTTTTGTTTTTTAACTCTCCGCTGTGCCTGACTTATCCTGCCAACTAAATTGTAAAAATAGAAGCTCCTTGACAGGGATGGTATATTATACTGCGTATTCCCCATAGGGAGCCCCGGTGGCGAAGTAGTTAAGAACTCGACTGCTAACCAAAGGTCGGCAGTTTGAATCCACCAGCTGCTCCTTGGAAACCCAATGGGGCAGTTCTACTCTGTCCTGTAGGGTCACTATGAGTTGGAATCGACTCTATGGCAATGGGTTTGTTTGTTTTTTTAATTATTTCCCATAGAGCCTGCCTTTAAAAAAAAAAAAAAATAAGTAGGCAGTTAGTAAATAATTAATGGGGAAAGGGATTAAGGGGCGGTACCTTAATGGCTGAGTTTGGTGGAGGGATGGATACTGAGGGAAGATGAATGCGTTCACGCGTCCTTCTCTCATCTTGGGGAATGTGCGAAAATAAGAATAACTCGCCGACTTAATTTCTGTCATTTCAGGCAAGTACATTGCCTCGACACAGCGGCCTGACGGGACCTGGCGCAAGCAGCGGAGGGTGAAAGAAGGCTATGTGCCACAAGAGGAGGTCCCAGTGTGCGTGGTTAGGCCTGAGGAGGGGATACTTAATGGGCTTCCTACAGAGGGATAGAACGAGCGAGCGTGCTTATGAGTTCAGGGAAGACTCTCCTGAGCCCCTACGAAAAGGAAGGAGAGGCAGCTATCTGAGAGAGGAGAGGAGGGGGTAGGATCCAGGGGTGAGTGAGGATTAGAGGTTACTAATCCTGTTTCTATGGCCTCTGTTCATAAGAACCTCCAAATAGCATTCGGAGATCCAGAGCTTCGGTTCTAGGGACGCTCCCACAACCTCTTCTGCTGAACAGAGGAAAATTGGGGAGGGACCATGGAATGAGGAAGGAAGAGGGAATGTGATTAGGGTGAAGTGGCTTGGAAGGTCAAGAGAAGGGCTCAGAAAGTCAGTGACTCTTTGAAACTGTGTTGACATCTTCTGTTCTCTTCAGGTATGAGAACAAATATGTGAAGTTTTTCAAGAGTAAACCAGAACTACCCCCAGGGCTGAGTCCCGAGGCCACTGCCCCTGCCACCCCACCCAGGCCTGAAAGTGGCGAACCAGGTCTCTCCAAGACAGCCAAACGCAACCTGAAGCGGAAGGAGAAGAGGCGGCAGCAGCAAGAGAAGGGAGAGGCGGAGGCTTTGAGCCGGACTCTCGAGAAAGTGTCCCTGGGAGAGACAGCCCAACTCCCCAGCGCTCCGCAGGGCTCCCGCGCAGTCGCTACAGCTGTCTCTGACCAGCCCGACTCAGCTGCCGCTGAGAAAGCCAAGAAGATAAAGAACCTAAAGAAGAAGCTGCGGCAGGTGGAAGAGCTGCAGCAGCGGATCCAGGCTGGGGAGATCAGCCAGCCCAGCAAAGAGCAGCTGGAGAAGCTGGCAAGGAGGAGGGCACTGGAGGAGGAGCTGGAGGACTTGGAGCTCGGCCTGTGAGGCCTTTGGGGAATGGGGAATGGACTGCAGAACAAACCATGGGGCTCTCTGGGGTCCTGGGGGATGTGGGCAGCAGTAGTCAGGAGGGGTACCTGGCTCACTTCCACCTCTTGCTGCCTAACTCTGTCTTCCAGAGTCTAGCCTCTCCCTCATTTCTTCCCTTTTCTTCCCAATGCCTACTTTTTGGACTTTCCCCCTCCTATTCCCAGTGTTTAAAATCTCAGTGACTACCCCAGTTACCTTTGCTGCTGGTTTGGGTGTTTTGTTTAAAAGAAAATCGGGTGGGTTGGAATCTCTCAGCTGAGATTAGGGGTAGGGGGAACTACACCCAAGTCTTGGAGTCTTGGTTCCTGTTCACAGTGTTTAGGGGTTATTTTCCCCTCCATCCCCACTTTTTTTTTTTTTTTTTTCTTCTTTTTTTAAAGAACGAGAATAAACTCAAGTAGACATGTCTGGCTTTGCCTCTGTTTTCAGCCACTAGTAGGAGTTTTGTCCTCCTAAGTTTGGCACAGGAAGACAAGTGTTGGGAGTAATGTTCCATTTAATTTTTTAAAATTATGAGCGTATGACTAAATTAGCCACACTAATTTCTGTATATGTTTGCTCAGACTTCATGGAACAGAAATTAGTAGTATAATTAAATGAAACTTAGAACAAATTTAATTCGACATGTTAATTTATATATGTCATTATTGTGCTGCATATTAATTTGGCCTTTGTACCTCCCTTAAACTGTTTCTTTGTGAAGATGATCTTGACCTTCTTCATCGCTTTACCTAGAGCAGCTCTTTTGAAATTTCAGCTTCTTAGATGCCACCCCAAGGTGACATTGTGGGCAAACTAATAATACAGTGAGAAGCCCTTCTAGGTAAAGGAATTTACAGCAAAAAAAAAGCTGTCAATTTTTTTTTCCTTTTCTTTTTTAAAATTATATTTTATTGTGCTTTCAATGAAAAGTCACTTAATTCTTTCATATTATCTGATTTCCACACCCTGACTTATCACAGCCTCTTTCCAGCTAGCTTAGAGACCAAGAGATGGGGAAGTCAGGCTGCAATGAACTATTTCTGGCGTTCTAAGTTCTTAGTCTGCCATAAGGTTCCACATAATCTGGCCCGTACTTAACTTGCCAGCTTCATTTCTATTCCCCAACTCTGGTCAAACTCTGCCACTTTTAGTTCAGTGAATGAACCATATCCTCTTTGAGCCTCAATCCTTTGTCCCAGGTGGTCCCTTCGCCTAGAACATTCTTCCTGACTCCCTTTCCCTAAACAACTTTCTTAGCCTTTGGATCTCAGCTTAAATGTTATCCTCTCTGGAAAGCCATCCCTTGCCCTCAAATATTAATTTACTTCCTTAACACTCGGCACTTAACTTTGTTGTTGTTGATAGTGCCATCGAGTCGGTTCCAACTGACAGCAACCCAGTGTACAACAGAACAAAACACTGCCCGGCCCTGGGCCATCCTCAAAGTTGTTGCTATGCTTGAGCCCATGGTTGCAGCCACTGTGTCAGTCCATCTCGTTGAGGGTCTTCCTCTCTTTTGCTGACCCTCTGCCAAGCATGATGTCCTTTTCCAGGGATGGTCCCTCCTGGTAACATGTCCAAAGTACCTGAGACGAAGTCTTGCCATCCTCGCTTCGAAGGAGCATTCTGGCTGTACTTCTTCCAAGACAGATTTGTTCCTTCTTCTGGCAGTCCATGGTGTATTCAGTATTCTTCGCCCAAAACCATAGTTCAAATGCATCAATTCTTCTTCAGTCTTCCTTATTCATTGTCCAGCTTTCACATGCATATGAGGCAATTGAGAATACCATGACTTGGGTTGGGTGCAACTTAGTCCTCAAAGTGACATCTTTGCTTTTTAACATTTTAAGAGGTCTTTTGCAGTAGATTTGTCCAGTGCAATGCGTCATTTGATTTCTTGACTGCTGCTTCCACGGGCATTGATTGTGGATGCAAGTAAAATGAAATGCTTGAGAATTTCAATCTTTTCTCCTTTTACTGGCATGTATTACACTATTTTGGCATGCCTGTTTACTTGTCAAGGAGTATTGGTAGTGCAGTGGTTAAACGCTCGGCTGCTAACTGAAAGGTTGGCGGTTCGAACCTACCAGCCACTCTGTAGGAGAAAGATATGGCAGTCTGCCTTCAGTAAAGATTACAGCCTTGGGAACCCAATGGGGGCAGTTCTACGTTGTCCTGTAGGGTTACTATGAGTCAGAATCGACTCAACAGCAACAGGTTTGCTTTTGGTTTACTTGTCAGCCCTGTTCCTCGTTAGACTGTGAGCTCCTTGTTTATCATCATTGCACGCCCAGTGCTTTATAAAGTAAATTCTCAGATATTCTGTGACTAAATGAATGAATAAGGTCATTATAGGAACTATGTGTAAGAACCAAAGACAGGAGGAGGGGGATGATTTGTACCTCACACAGCTGAGCCATTAATGGGGACCTGACTGGGCACCTCAGTGTGAGAGCAAAAGTCTAAGTTCTCTTGAGTAGGATTCCTGGTAAAGATTTTATAAATAAGATTTAATTGGCTTACACATAAGTGTTTGATGTTTATAAGTTCAGATGTTTTATAGGAATTTGTACTTTAAAAACCATTACTAAGGAGAGATTATTTATTTGCTATGCAAATTTGCAGTTTGCCGGGTTTTCGGTGGTTTGATTAAAGTTTATATTTATCGGGCCCTGTCAGTCCCTGCGCTAGTCTGTGGAAGGATACAATTATGAGTACACTGTGGAAGCTTTACTTAAGGAAACTATCAAGTCATGTAAATCACTAAGTACTGATGTTAGCTGCCATCAGCCCGACTCATGGTGACTCCATGTACCCATGTGATCCATAGAGTTTTCATTGGCTGATTTTTCTGAAGTAGATCACCAAGTCTTTCTTCCTAGTCTTAGTTTGGAATTTCCACGGAAGCCTGTTCAGCATCATAGCAGCGTGCAAGCCTCCACTGACAGATGGGTAGTGGCTGTGCCTGAGGTGCGTTGGCTGGGAATCAAAGCCACGTCTCTCACGAGAGGTAAGAATTCTACCACTGGACAACTGAACCACCACTGCCCCTTAATTAAGGACTAAAAACCAAACCTGTTGTCCTTGAGTTAATTCCCACTCATGGCGACCCTACAGGACAGAGTAGAGCTGCCCCATAGAGTTTCCAAGGGGCAGCTGATAGACTGAAACTGCCAACCTTTTGGTTAGCAGCCAAGCTGTTAATCACGGCAGCACCAGGACTCCAATGAAGTGTTAGGCAGAATGAATTAAGTGCTGTGGTAGAGGCAGCAGTGAAGTGTTGAGAGAGAGCTAAGAAAGAAACAATTTATTTTGATGGGAGTGAGGAGGCTTAATGCGGGAGGTGGCTTTTGAAGAAAGCTTTGACTACCATTTCAAGAAAGGCCGGTAGGGGGAGCCAGTGTGTGCGAGGACTTGGCAGCATGAAAGGCACGTGGTGAATTTAGGGTGTGGTTTGCTTTCAGTTTGCAGGGGCACATTTGCTCACATAAAGTCAGCATTAATCACTGGATATGGGAAGAAAATTTGCACATAAAACCAGTGATTATAAAAATGTGGGTCATGAAATCAATTTAGAAAGTGGGGACCAGTATTGTTTCTTAAATAGAATAGATAAGAACTAGCAGAGCCTGATGCTTAACAAGGGTAAATGTGTCCTATGATAATTTTGGTTCAGTTAAATATATGCAGCTATTTATATGAATTCTGGGTTAGAATGTAAGATCTATTCCTTACCTTGGTTTACAGGAAAATAGGCTTGAAGAAACCACTGACACAGTCATTACCGAGCGGCCGTGGCATGATTACACACTCTTCTTCGGGTCCTTACAGTGGGCTGGGTGGGTATTCTGGATTGAATTATGTCCCCCGAAAATACGTGTTGTAAACCCTAGCCCCTCCACCTGGGGCTGTAGTCCCGTTTGGGATAGGATTTTCTTCGTTATGTTGATGAGGCCGTATCAGTGTAGGGTGTGTTTTAAGCCTCTCCCTTTTTTTTTTTTTTTTACCGTACTTCAGGTGAAGGCTTACAGAACAAATAGTTTCTCATGAAACAGTAGTACACATATTGTTTTATGACACTGGTTAACAACCCCACAACACATCAACAATATCCTTACTCAACCTTGGGTTCCCTATCACCAGCTTCCTTGTCCCCTTCTGCCTTCTGGCCCTTGTCACTGGACTCCTGTA